AATCAGTATAATCAAACACAGCTGGACTCAAATGAAGGAGTAGAACCATCTCAGGGATGATCAGATGAAATGGACAGAGCCTAAGTTAAATATATGAGTGTCACAGCAAAGGGTCTGAATACTTATGACCATGTGATATTTCAGTTTTTCTTTTTTAATAAATCTGCAAAAATGTCAAAAATTCTGTGTTTTTCTGTCAATATGGGGTGCTGTGTGTACATTAATGAGGAAAAAATGAACATAAATGAGTTTAACATATGGCTGCAATATAACAAAGAGTGAAAAATTTAAGGGGGTCTGAATACTTTCCATACCCACTGTATGTAAAATACATATATATTATAAAATGTGTTTCTTTTTATGTGTCTTCACATCAGACTTTATTAGTTTACATATTATTCCTCTCATGGAAAATGTAGTTTCCTATCAGTTTGAACCATATAACTTTATGTGGCATGTTTGTTGTGCGTGTGAAGTTGGAGGCATCTATACTGTCATCCAGACCAAAGCCCGTCTGACCTCAGAGGAATGGGGGGAAAACTATTTCCTGGTGGGTCCCTATGTGGAGAGCAATGTGCGCACTCAGGTGGAGTTGATTGAGCCCACTAGTCCTGTGCTGAAAAGAACCATTGACAAAATGAACTCCAGTGGATGTAAGGTATTACCACACCTATCCTGCAGACACACACATCTCCAAGTGGAATTTGTTTGTTCCACTCAAGGACAAATAATTGGAGGTATTATCGAGTGAGATTTGTAGAAACATGCAATGAATGTGCACTACACCAGTTAGAGATCATCCTTAGTCCTTCTTTTATATCCGACCCACTATCTCTCTTCAGCCTTCTGTCTCTGACCACCATATCTCTAAACATCCTGACATTTCCATCCAAAGGTTAAAGGTTGTATCAGTGTCTCTCTCTCTTACACTTTCACACAGTTACACTCCAGAAATAGATGACGGTGGGGGTGGGGGGTGGGGGGGTGTCTGTGTGTGAGAGAGAGAAAACGATACTTTTAATGCTTTGTGCTGTGTCACTCTGGGAGTACTTTGGAATTTGGCCAGTAGTTGTAATGATACTTTCTTAAAGAGATTGTGCTTTTTTTCTTTTTCAATGAAGTCCATTTGGATCCCATGATTCACACAGCCTTTACATTTCATGACAAACCAGGCCACCGTTACTAGTTGGCCTGAAAATCTTTTTTCCTTAAAAGACATTTAGGTCCTGTATTAGTCATAATTTAAGCTTGAAGTGACATATGTTGATTGCAGTTTTGTATGAACAAGGTTAACTCCATCAAGGCTAATATTAGATTGTGTGTGGTTGGAATATGCAAATAAAATACTTGTTAGATTAGAGGCAGAAAAAAATGGTAAAAGTACATAACAGGAACGCATGCATGTACCAAAATTAGGAGCTGTTGTCACAGCTGTGGCTGTTCATGTTCAAATGCATACAAGATTGGTGTGGTTTATGCTATGTTTGTTGTTAAGTGATGACTCAGTACCACTATTTATTTTACCTTTTCCACTTAATACAAGATTTTTACTCCTTTTTACCCTTTTTTTCCATTTCCCTGCAGATCTACTTTGGGCGCTGGCTTATTGAGGGGAGTCCCTACGTTATTTTGATCGATGTTGGGTTCACGGCCTGGTCTCTGGACCGCTGGAAGAGTGAGCTGTGGGACCTTTGTGACATTGGTGTACCATGGTTTGACCGCGAGGCCAACGATGCTGTGCTGTTTGGCTTTCTGACGGCATGGCTTCTAGGAGAGGTGCCTTACAGCTCACAACTATTTATATAAACATGAAGTGAAAATTAGTAGTGTTGTGTCAAAAAGAGAGTTGTGTTTATTTGCAGAAAGAAAGTGAATTATCTGTGGGTTCTTAAGAAGCCTTGCATTACATATCCAAAGTCTTGAAATATCAGAACCCTGGAAAACGCATGAAGGCTACCCTGTGTTTGAGTATAGGTAGGGGTGTGTTTGTGTGTGTTGTAGTTCACATTGAACCTGTATTCTCCCATATTGCAGTATGCAGCCCAGTCTGAGGAGCCTCCACACATTGTGGCCCATTTCCATGAGTGGTTGGCCGGCCTCGGCCTGGTGCTGTGTAGACACAGACAGCTACCTGTTGCGACTATCTTCACCACTCACGCTACACTGCTGGGGCGATATCTTTGTGCCGGAAGTGTGGACTTCTATAACAACCTTGCAGAGGTATGTGTGTTTCAGTGTGCAAATGTGTCCATTTATTGCACAAGAATTTAATGAAGTAACAAGCAAAGAATAGTAAGATGCCAAGACATCCACATGCCACAATAGCTACAAAATCAGGTTATTTTTATTGTTGGAAATACTGCAGATTTGGTATTCAGCAAGCAGTCATCCTCGTTGTGCTCTCTGCTTTCTTTGACTTGTTCAGTTCAATGTGGATAAAGAAGCAGGCGACAGACAGATCTACCATCGCTACTGTTTGGAGCGGGCAGCTGCTCACTGTGCCCATGTCTTCACCACTGTGTCACAAATTACAGCCATTGAGGCAGAGCACCTGCTCAAGAGGAAACCAGGTGTGTGGAGGTGAATGGGTGTGTGGCATTGCTTTCAGAAACTTCCTTGATATTTTTTTTTTTATCACTGGCTGAGAGAGCAGTTCTCACTGAACAAGAATTGACTGTTTCTTGCTGCTTTTTTACTGAAAGTCTTGAGGTTTCATTGTTTTTGCTAGACGGCACTCGGAGACCGCAAACCTCCACCAAGGCAGGCCACTGTCCTCATAATCCCATTACACCTAAAAGCAATATTGCCATGATAGTTTGACCTTCATATTATGAATCATTAACGATAAAAACCTACCCCTAGCCTTTGGAATCACATTGATATCATTATTAGTTTGAATGTTATTCAAGAAGAACAATATTTCAATAATGGTGGTTTTCTTCAGGATCTAACTCGGTAACTTTTGAAGGTATGTCAAATCTGTTGACGCCCTGCTGAGTCAGCAGAGTTGAAGCTAGAATTTGATCCTGAATTGCAAGTCTGTAGCATTATATGTTGTGTCACAGAAGCAAATTTTCCATGAGCCATATAAATATGAACATTCTGGATCAACACATCTAGAATCTTATTTGGATCCAGATCATACTTTGCTATTTTGGTAAATCTTATGTGGATGTTATCGTGCAATTTTTGTCCAAGCAGTGTAGACACTGTGTACGGAGTTATGGAGCAAAAATATTGAAATTGGTCGCATCTCACAATGGTGAAGATTCAAAAAAAATTCCTGGATGTGAGTCAGGACCAAAATTTAATAGATTGTTCTGTGGGCCATACCCTGCCTCTCCTAAAAAAAAAATCATCAAAATTACTTTTTAAGTTATGTTGTGAAGAAACCAACCAACAAACAAACCAACAAAACCATTATCTCAGTTAAACTGTAGGTAACTGTCTGGACTGATATTTCTCTGCCTGTCTCTTTCTTTTGTGTTTTGCATTCATTTTTGCCTTCACTCTCTTTCTCACTCCACGCAGACATTATCACTCCCAACGGGCTCAATGTGAAGAAGTTCTCAGCTGTGCATGAGTTTCAGAACCTCCACGCTCAGAGCAAGAGTCGGATTCAGGAGTTCATCAGGGGACACTTCTATGGGTCAATACACAGCCCAAACTTTAGCAGCATGTTGAGAAAGGATAAATGTTGAATATCGGTATATGAATGAATGCTGCATTGTTCTGCTGAATTTCCCTGGAAACATTTGCTTCCTGTTTTCATCCTGCTTGCTACATGATTTTCATCAAACTGACATTAATATGAGAATGAGACAAATGAAATGACAAAGAATATCAGGCCTATTATGCTGTTATAGTAAAAAACTGTGAATATGTACATGATATGTGCTGCTCTAAAGGAGATTACATGACTAGTTTGTCTTGACCATCAGGAACCTTGACTTCAACCTGGACAAGTGTTTGTTCCTCTTCATAGCTGGAAGGTATGAGTTCTCCAACAAAGGAGCAGACATCTTCTTGGAGGCATTAGCCAGACTGAACTATCTGCTGAGAGTAAGTGTGTGTTGGTCTCGTTGTGTCAACAGATGTAGTAAAGGTATTTACATGGTTGTGTGCGAAGGTGAGGAAGAGAAAGGTGAATTCCAGGTGTAGCTCCATATTTCTGTCTGCTCCACCTGTCTCAGGTCAACCACAGTGACGTGACTGTCATTGCATTCTTCATCATGCCGGCTCGGACAAACAACTTTAATGTGGAGACCTTGAAGGGCCAGGCAGTCAGGAAACAGCTGTGGTGAGGCTTCTTGTGTTAAACTGGTTGAATTGTTGAGATGAAGTGTGTATATAACTAAAAGCATACACTGTAAAGCAGACACCTCATCCATATGGAGACAGATTTGATTTGTCTTCCCCATCAGACACTTTGACCTCTGGTGTTTTTACACTGTTCTTTTTATTTTTGTCCTTGGCAGGGATACCGCTCACACTGTGAAGGAACGCTTTGGAAAGAAACTTTATGATTCACTTTTAGTGTAAGTTGACCTGTTTTAATCTACTTTATGAAAAGTGTCAAATGTGGAGAGACATGTTGATTAAAAAAACAAATCTAAATGTTTCCGATCAGACCTGGATGTATTTAGATTAGGTAGAAAATATAGACTTGGTATAAAGATTGTCAAAATGATGATTATCTAACAAACTGATATACAGTAGTGTATTTGTGCTAATGTATATTCTATTGTAGTTGTTTTCAAAAATGGGTAAGAAATCCAGATGCACATTTTAGAAATAAGGTCCCAGATAGTCAAGCTTATCATTTTTCACCTATACTGTCATCATTAAACCAAAGAACAATGTATTGTCTTTAGTGGGCAGCTGCCAGATGTGTCAAAGATTCTGGACAAAGAGGATTTCACCATAATGAAGCGCGCCATCTTTGCGACTCAGAGACAATGCCAGCCTCCAATCTGCACCCATAACATGCTGGAGGACAGTAGCGACCCTATCCTTAACTGTGTCCGCCGTATTGGCCTTTTCAACAGCTCTGCTGACCGTGTCAAGGTATGTCAGTTGTTTATGAACAGTCTGTATTGTTCATCAGCCAGGATCTATACAAGTTCAGCACTGTGACTGCTAAAGAGCATCATGTTGTGGTCACAGTTTCTCTGCACACACCTCACACTCTTTGTAATGGTAAATAATTATAAAGCAATAATGAACGACTTCTTCATCCAATAGATAATCTTCCATCCAGAGTTCCTTTCGTCCACCTCTCCTCTACTTCCTATGGATTATGAGGACTTTGTAAGAGGCTGCCACCTCGGCGTCTTCCCCTCTTACTATGAGCCTTGGGGGTACACACCAGGTATGACTCGTGGATGTGGACGAGGTGTAAGCACGTTGCACATGTATGTATGATGTATTGTAAAATGTTAATTGGGCCTCACTGCTTCTGTCATTGTCAGCTGAATGCACAGTCATGGGAATCCCATCAGTCTCAACCAATCTGTCGGGCTTCGGCTGTTTTATGGAGGAACACATAGCAGACCCCTCCGCATATGGTGCGTTTCTTTATGCATTATCTTTTAAATTCTCCATGATTCTCAAAAATGTTTTTAGCACATAAAGAGGAATGACTGATGCATCTTTTTACATCATTCTGTTTGCATTTGCAGGTATTTACATCCTGGATCGACGCTTTCGGGGGGTTGACGAGTCATGTAACCAGCTCACTTCCTTCCTGTTCCAGTTCTGCAAGCAGAGCCGGCGCCAGAGGATCATCCAGAGGAACCGCACTGAGCGCCTGAGTGATCTCTTGGACTGGAGATACCTTGGCAGGGTTAGATTACAAATCCCAAGGAGTAATTTCATAAGTGTGACAATTTTAAGATCATGTTTTAAGATTCATGCGGTTTCTTTTTTCCTTCTGTTCTGCATTAGTATTACATAGCTGCCCGTCATATGGCTCTGGCTAAAGCCTTTCCTGACACCTACATATATGACCAACATGAACCCACCCCAGTAAGTTAACTTATGTGTCTTTAATGTGGAAAATGTACTCGGCTGGCACCTGCTTTAATTGTAATCTTAATTCATGGGAGCAACATTCTCTCAGATCCAGCCACTGATTGAGACGCTAATGCCTTTGTTCCTGTCCTCAGACCTCAGGCTTCCGTTACCCCCGACCAGCTTCCGTGCCGCCATCTCCGGCTCTGTCCCGCCACTCCTCCCCCCACCACAGCGAGGCTGAGGACAATGATGAAGATGAGCGCTATGATGAGGATCTAGAGGCAGAAAAAGATCGGGTGAACATCCGCCAGCCTTACACGGCGCCTTTCAAAAACAAGTCTCCTGGGAACAGCAACGGTATCGCAAGCGAGAAAAACTGAGCCACATATGTACAGTACATGCTAAACCTCACTAGTGAAACTACTCCCTCTGTGGAAGTTGTTACAGACATCCATGTACTCACACTTTGTAAATGAATGCAGGTGTGTGAATGCAAGTGATAAATTTAACATTAGGTTGTTGTGAAAATTGCAATGCTGTTAGTGTCTTCCCAACCTGTTCATACCTCAGAATTTTTAAAAATATGTCGGTTTGATATGTTTTGTTAATCTTTCAGTTACACCAGCAGTGCAGACAGTGGTTTGCTTTGTGGAGTAAATGCAGCAGGTAGAAAGGGATGAACAACAGCTCAACATGAACAGAAAAACAATCAGTATTGCTGGACTTTGTAGGTACTAACACTGGATGATATAGACCTAAAGCATTAAAAAAAAGGAATATTATGACTCACTGAATGTTTTTATACTTGAGTCAGCAGTGGGTTAGAGCAGTGAAAACAACATAACCCTCCTTTTTACCAACTTGTCATTAAAAGCAGGATCAGCTATTCTCCAGCCAAAAAAGCCCCATGTCAAAGCATAAAGAGTTCCTGTTCTTTTGACCTGCGTGATAATGATGCGGTGCTTTAAACTCAGCTGTCCACCTACTGTAATTGTAACATTTTTTTGTCTTTCTTTCAAATGCCTTGTTAGCTACAAAACCTTCCAGAGGGGGAAATAAAATGTAGAACGCACATATACTGTACAACAACACTTAGCTGGATTAGTGTCAGGTGTGTGTTTTCATTTAGTTCCTGGCTTATCAGTTTCGATCATCAACCTCACACTTCCTGTTCATGTGGCTGTGTGTGTGTGTGTGTGCGCTTGTGTGTTATTGCCGGGTTTGCCTGTTTTGGCTAGTATTTGATGGTGAAAGGAAAAAAGGGGCTGTCCTATGGTAAGATGGCAACCATGCTTTCAAGTGAAAGATGAGAACTAGCTGGAAAAGGAGCCGTTGGCTGTTTGTTATGGAATAAAGAAAATGGCTTTAACAGGCATACTCGCACTCCCTGTAAGGTTTGTTACAATCTTGCACCAGATGGTTATAATAAAGTTTAAATATATACTGTGCTGACTAGTATTTTACAAAATGAAAATAGGCTCTTTTTTCTTTGTTTGCATGCAAGTTTATTGGAACAGAGATGCCCAAGGTTCTGTGGGTTTACAGTTTCTCCGTGACTTACTGATCCAGCATCCACACAGCGTATCCACCATAAACCATGTAATTTATCTGGAATTTTGCAGTGGATCTTCCTCCTGTGTTGTAGATAATCCTTCAAAGTCCGCACCTGTTTTAGCACAAGTAAACTCGGCCCCCGTGACCTTTGCATACTGAGAAGAAAAAGAATATAAAGTTTAAAATCAGAATCTCAGTGACATGACCTACTCGCACACAAACTTGAGAACAATTATTGTTTTAGTCTGTTTATTTTGCGAGAGATTAAGTTTATCATTGTTTCCAAAAGATTTTCCAGTAGAACTCAATTTTAAGGTGCTTGTACTGTGAGTGTCTCTACTTATGCCTCTGTGCTTTATATTTCTGCTCTACTACATATATTTAAAATCTGCAGTTATGCTTTACTTTTCAAATTAAGATTTTGGACATCAAAAGTTCAACCTTTCTTGTGAGAAAGCAGTATTTAGTCGAACATAGAGACATTTCCCTCTCAAGTACTCAGATTCTTTTATTTAAATTACAGTTTGAGGTTGTTTTATTGTATGACTTTTAGGAGGGGAACCCTTCATCTTGATTCACTCAAACCCTACTTACCCTGGTTCAAAATGATTACCTGTTTCAGACAGGTAATCATTTAGCCAGATAAACTATTAAGTCATAAAAACGTGCTTCACAGACTCTATTTCAGGATCTTTGAAAAAATGTTTGGAAACCATGCAGAGCTCACCAAGTAAACTATTCCAGAAGGAGTTGTACGTTGCGCTGCCAGTAACAGCTCCGAGCCTGGCTGGATTCCTCCTCACTGTGTGAACTGAGAAGCCATCAGGTCCGGTCACATCCACCTCCACCACATGATAGTCAACTAACCTGGATAATGAAGAGGTATGAAACTGAATGATTCAAACAGTTATGAGAAGCTGCACTGAGCCAATCAAATGTTGAGGGAGACTCACGCTGTGTCTGAAACAATCTCTCCCTGTACACCAGTAAAGCCAAGTGTTCCTGCTGCCACTGCTGCTGCTGCCATGGTGTTAACATTGTTAGGAGCAAGTGGGCACAACTCTGCCACTGAGCCTCTGAATAAAACCCGTCTGCCCTCTCCCTCCATCCAGTCAGAGAGGATGTCACCTGTCAGCCGGAAGCAGGATGGATGCTTGGACATTCTTATGAACAAAGCCTGAACAGAAGCCATGAAATAAAATTTAGGTTAGAGTCAGAGCCCAAGACTCAGGAGTAGGTTCTGGGGGAAGAAAAATCTGTATCCCTTTAAGTTAATCTGAACCTAACCTTAATCACTTGTGTTATGATGCGTAACCTGACCCCAACTTTACATAACCCTAAACAGCTACCCCCTGCCTGCTCCTGGGTTTTGGGAATTAACATTTGCTTAAAGACATTCATGATCTACATTCATGTAATTAAAACTAAGCAAAATCAACTCAGTGTTCCAAAAATTAAAATCTGTCCAAGGCCATTTCATCTTTGTGAGCCAAACTGAAAACAAAGCAGCACACGGGCTGAAAACTGTTAAGAGAAGCCATTGTCTCTTTTTAATACCCTCCACACAGCACTACCCCAGTCTTACCTTTAAGGCTCCACTATCATTCAGCCTCTGGATGTCCTGACCTCCCCATAATGCACCACTGGGAATGTAGAGGGTCTTATTATACTTGTGAGCAGCCTGACGCAGGTTCTGGTTCAGCTCAGGATCAGAGAGAGCAGAAGGAGAGCCCACCTGAGGAAACAAAAAAGTACAAACAGGGTGCCATATTTCTGTGATTAACACTGAAAACAGCTCATACTTCATGTCAGCTTGTGTATTTGCATTTCTTGTAATGAATAAATAACAGCACCTATTTTAGCACACGCTACACATTTGGGTTTAGAGAAGAAATCTATTATATATGATCAGCTTTTATAACCAATAACACACATACTGAAGCTGGAGATAATAACGGCAACATAATTACCATGGTGATACTGTATATTTACCTTATTAGATCCAAAAGTTGTTCAAATATATTAGAAATACCCAAAATATGAAAACACTACAATAGCTACTCAATCTCTTTAGAATACATCTAACCAAATAAAAACACAAAAACACGTTGTTACCTGTCGTACAGCAGTCTGTGTTTAGTGTCTGTTACAGTTGAGGAGCAGGAACATAAACAAAGGCTTTGCAAACTCAAATCTATTTTCTTTCTTAGTCTAGCAAACAATGAAACCTCCAGATGGCAAGATAACGATATCTAGTAAAGATTAAAATAAAATTAATCATTCATGCCGCACTCAACCAGCAAAACTTCCTCACAAACAGATAAGAATCTCACCATGAAATGAGACTGAGAAAGGAATAGGACCCCAAAATCTTTCACTATCTGCGGATGGCACACTTCAACAATCACATCACATCGCCTGAAAAGCACAGTCATTATTCATTAAGGTGATTTTGTGGAATGATATAAGATGACACTGTTTTGTATATGAGTTCACATCACTTGCGTGTTTTCACCGTTCTGCAAAGGACGATAGATCACAAAGTATGTGTTCATCCGGGACTAAACCTTTGAGCTTGTCAGAATTTCTGTTCCAAGCAAAAGCCAGAGTAAAACCAAGAGCAGCTCCATCTTTGAGGATCCTTTCCACCAGGTACTGCCCTGCAGCACACACAGTGCAGTCAGTAAAAAAATGTACAGTAAGTCAGGGACAGACAGCCATACACCTGTGACATTAGGCACTCTCAAATCTGTTATTAGGTAATTAGGTGTGATGTGATTAAAGAAACTGAACAGAAGGTGTGTGTCTGGCGTTTGCACGGGCAGTTCAAACCTAGATGTCCATATCCTACAACTCCAATCCTTAGGGAAGGAGAGCTGGCTGCCATGGCCTGTGCACAGAAAGCAAACATGCTAATGAAACTCCCAGAACATTCACTTGCAACTTGACAGCACACATACATACCTGACTGACCTTACTTCAAACCTGATCTCCCTCACTCTGGTCAACTAATACTGTATAACACTCACTACATTTCTTCCTCTACTCACCCAATAATCCCAAACTACTGCAGAGCTGTGTGTCCCAGTTTGAAGCACAACAACCAGCCCACAAGCGCAGGGACTTGTGAACATGTACAGTACAAAGTTTGACTCAGAGAGGCCATGGTTAATAATTGTCATTCAGTTTGTGGAATTATCACACACCAAACTCTCCCCCCTATATTTAATCAATTTCAGTTTCAGATCCATTAAGAACTATAAAGTGCAAAAATACTTAACTCTGTTTTCCTGATGAGACAATGACTGATTGTTAAATTACATCTACTATATATGTTTACTTTGCTTTTATTTGTCCCACACAAACAATTTAGATCAAGATCAAAGATTAAAGAGTTTTATTGTCAATTCACTATATGAGCAGGACATACAGAAAAATCAAAATACTGTTTCTCTCTCACCTAATGTTGAATGCCCATACCATTTAAGAACTAAAATAGAATAAAAGTAGAAACACAGAATACATAGAATATGAAAACTGAATTCAAGTAATAAGGATAAACTAACTGGTACAAACTAATAGGCTATGATGAAACTCAAAGCCATGTGCAAACAGTGACAGTGTTTCATCTATTAAAAAAACATATATAAGTAGCTCTGTTATATCGTGTAGTGTGGCACTTGCCTTTTTGGAAAGCTTTGATGTAACGTGGCCATCTATTGAACACAAGCAATGTCATGTGAAATCCTTTCCTTTCTTAATTAGGATCACCCTTTGATTACAACCCCTACAAATGATATATTACACATTTGTTGGCAAATAATCCTATACAACAACAGAATTTTTAGTTTCATATTAAACAGCACCGTGTTACTTGGTTGGTGTCCCCAGACATGACAAAGCACCTTTATCTTAACTATTCACTTTCCCACATTTGAGTTTTCAAAATCCAGACATGTCTAAATACCAACAACGATCAGATGTTCACATATAAAGTAAATTTTAAAAAAAGCTTTTATCATTTATAAAAGTTTACAATTCACAAATCAAATTTTGTGTCAAGTTCAACTTTGTTCTATATGTGTTCGTATCAGTAATTTAGTTCCCCTAGAGAGGTTAAAGGTCACCTGTTTGTACAGGAGAACATTGATTATCAGAGAACAATCAGCAAGGACTGTTCCAAAGTTCATTGCTATGAAACGTCAAACCGGCTGAGAAACACGGCAGAGATTTGAGACGAGGGGAACAAGAAAGCAAGACAAGAACGTTTGAGGATTATATGTGTCAGTAACTAACAGAAACATCCGCAAAAGCAGAAGAAACAAGAGGGGGTCTAACAAGGGAGGTCCATCCAGCGGAAACATCTGTAGGGTCCCACATCAGCACCAACTGTGAGAAGATGGACATTCTTGAGACACATGCCCTTGACAGACGACAGAGGAGAAACATGGTACCTAAAATCACTTTGTCTTATTTGCAGTAGTTGCTCAGTAGATGTAGATGTTACAACCTTTTTCATGTGGAAATGAAACTGTCTATGATCATTATTCAACATACTCTTGTTGTGACATGTATCGCCATTTCTTTCTGTTCCTTCTTTTCTGTCAGCCCTGTACTCTGCTGTTCTCTTTCCTGCCTTTCTTTTTGTCCACAGCTGTGTACTTCTACATGTGGGATCCCGACTTTCCCGCATCCATCATGTCTGCAGGTGTCAAATCGGCACCGACACTCCTATTGGCCGCAATAGTGCTGAGCTGGAATGGAGGTCAGAGTGTCTTGGGTGTGGTGGGAGGACTCCTCTTCTCCGCTGTTGGTGACTGTTGTCTGATATGGCCTGAGCTTTTTCTTCATGGTAAGAGCTTGTTTGTGCATGAGGGAAGCACACTTTGGACCATTTTACAGATGCAAATTAAGCTGCAGGGAGTCATTATGTTGTCCATCAGCAGACACTAGTGAAATAATATACTTCATTTGATTTAGTCATATATCTTATATTTTTCATCTCATCTTTTTCAGGGATGGCTGCATTTGCTGTGGCTCATCTGCTGTACTCACTCACCTTCCTCTCAAGTCGTTACGCAACAGGTTCCCCCTCCTCCTCGTGGACCCGTTTTCTATATCTGATCCTGTTCTTGGTGGGAACATGTCTCTACATCTATCTCTATCCATTTCTGCAGAAGGTGCCAAACTCAGATCTACTAATTCCAGCTGTGGGGGCCTATATTTTCTTAATTACACTAATGGCAGTATTAGCTATTAGAACCCGCAACACAACCACACTCTTAGGAGGTTTGTTCTTCTTGGTTTCTGACACGTCACTGGCTCTACAATTGTTCAAGGTGATTGCACCAGTGAAGCAGGGTAGCACTGTTGTCATGGTGACATATTATTTGGCACAGCTTCTAATTGCTGTGGGTGATGTAAAAGCAGTGGAGAACAAGGATGACTTTGCAAAATGGAAGAGGTCCTAAACAGCATATCTGTGGCTCTTTAGACTTTAGAAGCTGAAGTATCTTCCTACTTCCTTGATAAAGTCCCACTACTGCCACTGAGTACTTAAGGTCATAGATTTTTTTTTTAAACCAAATGAAATAAAACAGGAAGGTGATCATTTTCTGTGACATCCAAGTTTGAGCGTAGGTTGTGTATATACATATGTGTTGGCAATGTGATCCACTTGTGAGCTGGATATGTACATAACTACTCCCATTTGTTTGGCTGATAATAAATAAATATGGTGTAAAAAAATAATCATCTGTATTTCTGAGTCAACTTTTAAGAGACAACCAACTGAAAATAATTTAGCTTAGAGACTTCAGACAAACCTAGCTTTGCAGTAATTAAAAATTAGACATACATGTAACCGAATTGATATTTGGATGTAAATATTAATACATAAAATAGAAAAAAAAAATACATTACCTGTTAGGGCATTATTTGGTAATACTTTTAAGATATGAAGATCTAAAAACACTGAACCAAAATAACAGCAGACATGTGAAGTATTTTATACATTACACCTATTTACATAGTAAAATTCAGCTCCTGGATTACATGTGTCATAACAGACAAATGTTGCTTAACATTCATGATCTAGATCATGAATGTTCCGTTACATTTTTACACACTGACACTACAGCAGGTAAGGTTAATAGGAGTTCAGCGATCCATCCCACTGTCATCTGGCTGCTCCTTACAGAAACACATAACCTTCAAACGCTTGCAGAAGCCCAGTTCTTCCTGTTGGAAACATAAATGTAACTTTAAAAGATGTTGTCAGGGTAGAGATTAAGCCTAGCCCTTAATGTGACTAATAGCTCTATTATTTTGGGTAATTTTAAATCATTTCTGTACACAATATATACATTTTGGCACCTATTTGGCCCTCAAAAATGGATATCATAAAAATCTGGTTGCTTATTTGTTTAGACCAGTTACTGTCTAATATTGTTTCCACTGAACTAGATTTTGCAGTCATGTGGTGATTTTTTTGTACATGAGAAAAGACAACTTTCCTTATAACATCTACTCTGCTGGCTTTAGTACAAAAAAGGCCAAAATACATTTTCAGGTCTGGACAATCACAATACTTGCACCCATTTTACCGTCTTGACTTTGTATTTTGCAAAAAGTTGTGTATAAATTACCTGATTTTCTTCCTTTCCTTGGAGCTCCCTGGCTTTTTGTCTGAGTAACTCCTCAAGGCCCAGAGCAGGATTCCTACAGTCTTGGAGCCCCTGTGGACAGTCCTCCACCAGACTAGACAGACAAAGAAATAAGGAGATAATTACTAATATGAACCATGAATTAATGTCAACTTCTGAGTGCTGAAAATAGGAAGGGCAGGAGTGTTTCTTACCAACAAAGGGCGCCAAGCACATGTTCATGGAACGGTGAGTGTGGTGTGCGAAGAACAGATACAAGCTGCTGTACCATACCCATGGAGACAACTGAATCTGCAGGAAATGGAAAACACATCTCATCGAGCTAGCATTACAAGCATGCTGTGTAAACGTGTTTGTCTAGAGGTGCAAGATGTGAATTCACTAGGAGACCAAATTTTGCTATTTTATATTTAAAAGTTCAAAACAAACAGAGCAGCTTACATAAAAACTTAGTTCACTGTAGACCCTGTGAGGTGCTAGTAAAATTGACACCAGGGAATGAAGACCATAGCTATTCACACACTTTTTAAAAATATTTTGACATCGATCAGCCAATTGTAACCCAAGAATGGCTGTAGATGTGTGGGATCTGTAAACCAGTTGACATGAGCCTCTCTTGTTTGTACCTTTCTGTTCAGGATGTGATGTCAGCAGGTTGAGCAGGAGGAAAGCCGACTTGGTCCTGAGTTTTTCATTCTCTGCCTGCATGCCTCGCATTAGAACTGAGAAACCATCATGAGACAGGAACGCCTGGAATCCCTCCTCCTGCTCTCGGACCAAACCTAAAGTAACATTGGGATACAATTACAGTTTTACTTGGCGGTGTCGTGTATACTGATCAACCTGCACGAATGCAAACAGCATTTCAATCTAGCTTAAATGTTAAATAGGTGTGTGTGTGTTTCAGAGCTCTTCGATACTCACATGAGACGGCATAAAGGGCTTTTACTCTGACAGTGGAATGGAGGTCTGAGTCTATCAGCTGGAGTAGTTTTGGCAGTGCCCCAATGTTAAGCAAGTGAACCTGCACCTGTGGCATGTTCTGAGCACAGGAAGCGATAAGCTCTGCAGCACGCCACCTTAGCCCACTTTGGACATGACACAGATACTGGGAGACACACAACTCCAGTCCACCCAGAATCATCAGATCTGTGAAGCAGAGAAAGTGGGAGACACAGTTAGGACAGCTACTCAACGTTAGGATCTAAAGACTGCTTTGGGAATACCATCTCAGATAGGGTTCACCACAAACCTCTAGCATTGTCAAGGTTCTCACACAACTCCGACAGCAACTCAAAGGCCGATTCCCGTTCATCTTCATCCTCTTCATCCATCTCCTCCTCTCCTTCTCTCTCCCTTTCACTTCTTCCCTCTTTGGTTAGGACAGCCAGACACTGCTTCATCTGCTCCACTTCATCCACCTGCCCTTTGCAAATTTCTGAAAGAGCTTCTCTCAGCCACGCTTTTCTCTGGAACACAGAAAGACCGTGAAAATATTTGTCATCCTGTATTAAATACTGCTGATGCTTGTGTCTAGGCAATGATGCCTTTCAGTACAAATTAATGTCCAAACATTGTTCCCTTCTACAATTTCCCACTGCCAATTTGCCATATTCCAAGGCATATTCAAGCTCGTTTTGTCCAGCTACTAATCTAAAATTGTGCTTTCAGGGGTTATCTCCCAAAGCCCTCTCAGATTTGAAATCAACAATTAACAGGCACTTACCTCCTCTGACATAGGTTCAAGAGGGGCAGGACCCTCTGCAGCAGATCCTGCCTCTACTGCCAGCTGCAAGACCCCCTGAAGATTATGTGGATACTGCCTGTTCTGTCTGTCTTCTGCCATGATGTGTACAGCTGAGGAGAAAAACAGGGAAAATCAGATTCAACATAACTGGACTTTAGAAACCCAGCAGTCAACTTCTTGACTATAACGTTAAGTTCACCTGACTTTACTCTAAGGATGCATAACACTACCCTGGCTGTACTTCCAGGACCACGTTTCTAGTAAGGAACAGCTAATAAGTTTACATCATCAGTTAAGTTTTACTTGTATGGTGCCAAACAACAACAAAAATCACCTCAAGGCACTTTACACAGAGAAAAACCTAGCAAATCACCAGAAACATTAAAAATGGAAAAAATTACAGAAGTCATCCTACATACCCAGGCTAACTTACTACCAATAAAGATTCTCACTGAGCTTCGGTTATACTGTAATATCATAGGCAAAATTAAAGCACTGTATACTTACCTTTCAAGAGTCCTATAAAACGGTGCTCATTAATGGACACAAAGTTTCTTTTTAGCTTCCACGCAGGTCTAACCCCTCTATAAACACAGTAACATGAATGCACTAGAACTTTCTAGCTAGCTGGTCTCACAAGCGGCAAGGAGGCGGCCATGCTTTACCATATCCTGAGACCAAACTGGCAAGTAAAATGATTTTATCGTAATTTTCACTCACTTCAGGGTCATTTTATCAATTTTAATTTCCGCGTCAGTACAGCTTTATAAAATAATAAATTAGTAAAAAGAGACCGTAATACGACTCCGATATTTAAAAGCTACAGCAGCAAATTCCGCCTTAGTAGCGTACTTAAGGTAAATCAGTGACGTTGCTAAGCGCGACGTTCAGAGAGTCAGTAAAAGTGACATACGTTCTAGATGAAAAACCCCTCGAGCGGAAGACCTTTTAATGGCAAGTACATGTTATGAAATCACATAATTGATAAATAGTGTAAAGTATAAGGTAATTACATCTTAACGTGTTCATGCTTGACATCAGCAAGTCTTTCAATATATGACAAATACAGAAATAAAACAAAGCGTTTTTCTGCAATGTAACAAATAAGCAAATAAATCAAGCTGTAGAAATTAATACAATGTAGCACCCAGAATTAAGTTCAAGTTCACTTTCTCTTATTTAAAAACTTCAATAAGTAATGTGTATCTTTATTAGTAGTATTATAAGTAGTAGTAGGAGTGTTTTATTATTTTATACTTATATGAGAAAAAGCTACAACAAACAATTTATTGATACGAGGGAGGTCCGCTGCTTCGAGCGACATCTCTGGAACTTACAAGGCACTCTCTTGACTTTCATCTTTGGTTTGGCAGATCATCCAAGATGGCGGTGCTCGTGGGGCTGCGTGCATGTTTCTCTGGTAAAAAATAGTTTAATGTTTTGGTAGTATCTGACTTTGTGTGCATTTCCGTCCGTTTTGTTGTGCGCGTATAATAGAATAAATTGTTTGCACCAGCAAAATATAGGAACATGGAAAGTCTCTTCCCGTTTCAGCGCAAGGTCACGTTACCAGTGATCGTTAGCTATCGATGTAGCTAACAAAGGCTGACAACGAACTGATGAATAATTATTAAAAGTAGTTAATATCAAAGACAACTGGATGATTGCCGAAGCTTGCTTCTTATAGTTGCCAGCAGCTTATCTGAAGTAAAAACACACTGCCGAGCCTTTCCTTTGGTTCAAAAGCTTGTAAGCTTAATGTCAGCTGCAGCAAAGCATCTTTTAGCCCACTGATTTAATCCATGTGATAATCTGATACTAAACTCTCACATAGTCCCATTTCTGTTATCTGAAGATACTCGTGCACATTGATCCATGCATGTGAAAAACAACTTCAGCATTTCAGGAATCCTTATAGTACTACAGTATTGTTTTATCCCGTTGACACTTAATTAAGTATATTCCTAGAAAACAACTAGTAGTTATTGTTATAGTAGTTACAGTTGGTTACGAGCCATGCAATAATAACAAAGTCTAGTGTCAGATTTTGCATCCCAATGACACATTTTGGTTTGTGGATTATGACTCTGAAAGAGATTTTTGATCTGTCAGTCCACCAAGACTGTGATAATCAGCTGCTGTGTGAGTTTATATAGTTCAAACACTTTGATTCACTCTTCTCAGCCCTTCAACTTTCTTCACCAAGCCTCCTGCACAACTCGTTCAAATTGGTGAGTAAGTTCACAATCTGCAGTCTACAGACTGTAAAATATGGCTTTCTAACAGTTCTAACTCCTGAATTTGTCATTGGCTTGTAGTGTGCTGTGCCTCTGAGTCGGCGGACCTTTGCTGCGGAGGCTAAGAAGACATACAGCAGAGAGAAGCCCCATGTGAACATTGGAACAATTGGCCATGTTGATCATGGCAAGACCACCTTGACAGCAGCCATCACAAAAGGTAGAATCACTGATGTCCAAGCTTTTATTCTTACACTGGTTTAGATACACATACATACATCATATTTTATTTAGTCCAAACAGTGAATTAGTTGAACCGACCCACAAGGAAAAGTAAAAGCTCTTTAGTTGTTTGTGCTCACACATGATCTGAGTGATGTGGACTTCCCTCCCCAGTGCTCGCTGATGTTGGTGGTGCTCACTATAGAAAGTATGAGGACATTGACAATGCTCCTGAGGAGAAGGCACGAGGCATCACCATCAACGCCTCTCATGTGGAATACACCACAGCCAATAGACATTATGCCCACACAGACTGCCCAGGTCACGCTGACTACATCAAGGTGATCTGCTTTTCTTCTTCATGCTCCTGCAACTAACCTGAACAAGAAAACACTGAATATGATGCAACTTTGTTGTTGTTGGACTTATCACAATAAGGACTACTTTCCTTGTTCAGAACATGATTACAGGCACAGCTCAAATGGATGGCTGCATCCTGGTGGTGGCAGCCACTGATGGCCAGATGCCTCAGACACGCGAACACCTCCTGTTGGCCAGGCAGATTGGCGTCGAGCATATTGTGGTTTTCATTAACAAGGCCGACGCCGTGGAGGACAAGGAGATGGTGGAGCTGGTGGAAATCGAGATCCGCGAGCTGCTCACTGAGTTTGGCTATGATGGCGAGAACACACCTGTTATAATAGGCTCTGCTCTCTGCGCCCTGGAGGTGAGAGGAATGCTGGCAGTAAATCATCTTACAGTTCTGATAATACAGCACCAATCCACAGAATTACGCCTCTGTTTAATTTTCTACAGTAGATCCTCTGAGACATCTGGGTAATTGTTTTTCCTCTATATCAGAACAGGGATCCTGACTTGGGTGTGAATGCAGTGATGAAACTGCTGGAGGTTGTGGATTCTTATGTTCCTCTCCCCAAAAGAGAGCTGGAGAAACCTTTTCTTCTGCCCATTGAAGGAATTTATTCTATTCCAGGTAAATTGTGGGGGGGGTTGGGGGGCTGTAACTGTAAAACACTAACTCAAAGTTGTAATAAGCTGAGACATATTAAAAAAAGGTTATTTTCTCTGAATTTGATCATCTATTGTGTGTTTCAGGCAGGGGTACAGTGGTGACAGGCACTATGGAGAGGGGTGTCATCAATAAAGGAGATGACTGTGAGTTTGTGGGCCACAACTGCAAAATCAAGTCTGTGGTTACAGGTGAGTGAAAGAGAAAACAGCAGAAACTCAGAGGAGGAGGTCTAGTGCTGTTTAAAAAGGACATGACAAATGGACATGTGTAACAAAGTAAAAATCTCAGTAAGTTAGTAGAGAAACGGGTAAATGACGACGAATTCAAGTCAGGCTGGTGTACTGGTGTGTCCAAAGATGTATGAGCTGTAGGAGCATTGGTGCATAAACAACATTTTGACCTTGGTGTCTGTCCTCTTGGGCACAGGTATCGAGATGTTCCACAAGTCTCTGGATCGGGCAGAGGCAGGAGATAACTTGGGCGCTCTGGTGCGAGGTCTGAAGAGGGAGGATGTAAGGAGAGGGATGGTGCTGTGCAAACCAGGGTCCATCATGCCTCACCAGAAAGTCCAGGCCCAGGTCTGAGCAGATAAAGTTTCAAACAGTTCCTATTGATCTGTTTACAATCACGACGGTACTGTATGATGGTACCGTATAGAATCCAGTCACTGCAGTGGCTAAAAAGCAGTTTCTAAAGTAAACTGGGAAGACCAGCTAATGACTCTGGGGTCAATCACTGAATTAAAGACACTGTTTATCTACTGATATGCACAAAGAGATTTAGTGAGGATATAAGTTTTTTTAGTTTTTTGTTTATTTTAGGCGATTCTAAAATTAAATCCATGACTCCATGTTATCTGTTACATGAAAGTTTTGTGTGTGTGTCTGTCTGCTTCTTGTATCACAGGTGTATATTCTGAGTAAGGAGGAGGGAGGCAGACACAAACCATTTGTCAGCAACTTCATTTGACAGGGGGGCCAACACTTGTTCACACAGGGCTATATAGTTTTGGATTTTGTTTTCCCTTAATAATAAAAACCTTCATTTAAAAACTGCATGATGTGTTTACTTGTGTTATCTTTGACTAATATATAAATTTGTTTGACGATCTGAAACATTACAGTGTGACAAACATGCAAAAAGATAAGAAATCAGTAAGGGGGCAAACACTTTTTCACACCACTGTATTTTTAGCAATCTGAATTTAAATGGCAAAATCCTAACTGGAGATGGGGTGACAATCACGACGGTACTGTATGATGGTACCGTATAGAATCCAGTCACTGCAGTGGCTAAAAAGCAGTTTCTAAAGTAAACTGGGAAGACCAGCTAATGACTCTGGGGTCAATCACTGAATTAAAGACACTGTTTATCTACTGATATGCACAAAGAGATTTAGTGAGGATATAAGTTTTTTTATATGCACAAAGAGATTTAGTGAGGATATGTTTTTTTGTTTTTTGTTTATTTTAGGCGATTCTAAAATGAAATCCATGACTCCATGTTATCTGTTACATGAAAGTTTTGTGTGTGTGTCTGTCTGCTTCTTGTATCACAGGTGTATATTCTGAGTAAGGAGGAGGGAGGCAGACACAAACCATTTGTCAGCAACTTCATTCCTGTCATGTTCTCTCTAACCTGGGACATGGCCTGCAGGATCACTCTGCCCAGTGACAAGGTGCGTTTGTCATATAGTGTCAGGTTTGAATCCCATCTACAACAGTGCGTAGGGCCATGTAGGCCATTAGTTGAATTTTATTTTCAAATACAATTTAGGCATCCAATGATTATGAAAACAAAATAATTGAGATAAAACAGTTTCTTCTGAACTGTCAATCACGATTAGGTACTGTAGATAAAATACTTGTTTTTTAGTTGAATCATGTTTAAAGTTCAAGAAAACCCACTGTTAAGACATTTTCACTAAATACTTGATGTTTTCTAAGTTGATGAGTAATCGTGTTAAATAATCGTGATCTCAGTATTGACCACAATAATCTTCATTATGATTTTTGCCATCATCGTGCACGTGTCTTTGTTTACATAAAGATTTTAACAGTTATTCTAAAATAGTTTTATTGCACGATGACATGCGCTACATGCATTTTAAACATTTTGTTATTTGAAGTTTGACAAGATTATTATTTAATGCAGGGCTGTTGGATTCTATTAAAGTGTGTAGTGATGTTTATTCTTCTGGGCACTCAGTGTGGGTTTGTTCCAGTGAGGATATCCACCAGTTCATAAAGTAAACTTTCCCAACATAAATTAATGTATTTTCAAGTCTTTCATATCTGTAAACAGTGTAGTATAACAACAGGATGTTGACTGTTTGTAACCACTTGGTCTGTTGTTCTCTTCCTGTTTTAGGAAATGGTGATGCCAGGGGAGGACACCTCTTTGATAATGACCCTTCGCCAGCCAATGGTTCTGGAGAAAGGCCAGAGGTTCACTTTGAGAGAGGGAAGCAAAACTATTGGTACTGGCCTGGTCACAGACATCCTGCCTAAGTCAGATGACGATAATTGGGGCTGAAGGGAAACTCTGCAGTGATGGCGGGGTGTGGTGAGCGGGGGGGGGGGGGGGGGGGGTCACTTAGGGAGATGGGGTGTTTGTGTCTGGTCAAATGAGTTAAAAGTAGACATATACAAATACATAAGCCCATGTACAGGAATGGAAGACTTGCACCCAACCAAAACAACTCATGTTCTTTATGTTAAAGGACCAGACTGTCAAAAATATCTGTTGTGTAATAAAATGTATTTAATAACAGAAAAGCTTCCTTCATTTAGTAGGTATTGTTAAACTGATGATTATCCAGAAGAAGCAAACATAAATTAATGAGCGATACAAAAATATATAGTTTTGTTACATTTGAGGTATGAAAACATCCAAACTGCATTGCACTGTATGTGGCGCATGGGGGCAGCAAAAGGAGGCTTCAGAGATTTTATTTATAGATTTTCACCCCTTTGTTCCTCAGAACGGGCTGTTCTAATGTAATGAAATCAGAATTTTAAAGGGAGAGTTTAACAGGATTTTAAGTCTTTAGGAGGCAGAATAAAGTTTTTTTTTTTTTTGACAGGATGTTTTTATAACATTAAAATTATCATGAAAAGTATCAGACATTGTTTGCTCAACTATCCTTTGTTCTTAGAAGAGTATTAGTGAAAATGGTTCCAGTCCAGGTCCAATCCCAGTAGCTTGAGACATTTTACAGTGGTTACACACCTCAACCATCTCCCTTGTCGTATGTTATTCTAATGTAAAATCATGGGCTATCCCAAATACAGCTTCTGTTTGCATCACATGGTGGAATTAAATTTAGCATTGTTTTGTCACATGCACACTATCCTGCTCTCCTTTAGTCTTCTCAGTGACAGAAATTAGATATTAAACTTAAGAAACTAGTATTCAGTTTAAACAGTGAAACTGACAATAGAGCTGAGACTAAAGAGGACATCTCGTGACATGAACAGTATCGGCCTCACGTAGAAGTCATTTTCAAGTGAATAAAACATTGTAGATTCAAAATGAGACACTTTTGCGCTATGTCCTTTAATAGATCATGTCAGTGTATTAACCCTGGCTGACCTGAGTAGCTGGTGTCCATTCTGCTTGTTCATTTCCAGCAGGAAGTTCTCCAGTTGCTCTGTGTTTGCTGTAGGTATTTGAGTCCGTGCCTCCTGTAATCCAATCAGCCTGTTGCTGTAATCAAATACAGTATGTCTGCAGAAGTCGAGGCTGGAGCAGTTAGCAGCCTGCTGCTGAGTGATGTGCTCAGCTGGACGATAAATGTCTAAGCAGAATAAAGTGATTACATGTTTGAACTTGTGAGTGATGTCTGCTGAATCATGTCAAGACGATCTACAGTACCTGGTAGCTACCTTTAGATTCACATGTTCAGTTTGACATCAACCAAAGTGGATAGATGACACAGTCTGTGATATTATTTTAATAGCCAAAATAATGTAAAGAGTATTTTTACCCTCATGTACTTTATAAGCAGTAAAAATTACTAAGTCATAACTCACTGAAGTTGTAAACAGATATAAGACAGTACACATTTTAAGAGTTGATGAATACATTTGTCAATAACTAAAACATCCTCTGTGGAGCACTTGTAACATAATGAATTGACAATTCATTCACTATTGATTATTGGCAATGTCAAAATCAACAGTGGAAGAATAAGTAAATGTCTTCCACTCAGCATCCTACTAGAGTCAAAGTGAAGATGTATCATCAGCTAAATGTACCTAAAAGTCTGTTTCTTGAGTGATATGTATTTCATTGTTACATCTGTAATACTTATGCCTCATTGCTTTAGCAGTATTTTGTTGTAGCTGGTCAAAGTGGAACTAGTTTGATTACTGTATATACTAATCGAGAGGTTTCCACTTCAGGAGTCGGAAGTGTTACAGGATTCAGCTACTCAAATTAGTGTTAATTTTATGAATATTCTGAAACCTTTGTGAAATACTGCATAGTTTACCCCTTTAGGGCTCAAACAGTTTCAATTAAAACATCTTAGAAGTAGAAGAAAATTCAGTTCAATTGTATAGCGCCATATCACAGCAAACATAGTCTCAGTACAAACCTCTTCAGCATAAGTGGTATAAATAATGAACGGATGAATATGAAGCTACAGTATTTATGTATTTCTTTGTTTAATAATGTACTTATTCTCCATGGCAACTCAGCAAATATCATTAGCTAATCGATATGGGATGTGGCTGAAAGAAATTAAGTTTTTTTTTACTTTTCACTAATGAACCTTCAGCTTCGACCTGTCACACCCACATTTTGTAACACACTGTAAGGATTTGTTCATGTGTCTAATCATATATCATGAATACAGCTATGTTACATACACTGTTATTGATCCCTTACTAACTGTTTTTGTACAACATTTGTTTGGTTTAACATTTTTTACATAACTAAAAATTCACAGGGTTTCAGCTTCACTTGGGGCTGTCAGACACTAGTTTCAGTTACAGTCTAACCCACCCTGATTTCTAAAACCAGTTTCCTCTCTCAGTTTTTCCCAGACAGGGTGTGTTTTTTTTTCCGACCAGCGATCTCCCATTCACAAGTTCACTTCTCTAACCTTTAGGCTGTCCACACCCCTCAAGAGAATCAAATGAGACATGCTTGAGCTATCTGATTTTACTGGGACTGGAAAGACAAACTTAATAATATCATGAAGATCCTAAAGTTGGTTTCCTTGACTTGTTCTGTAATGATTAGATGTCACGTCCTCTGGCCAAGGACAACGAGACTTAAGGCTTATTTCCAGTCAGTTTCAACATGGATACTCGTTTCCCAATACAATGACTTATTTTTTACATCAGTCTTGCCTAAGTGGTCATTACATTTCTGTGAGAAACACATCAGTTGATGCACATTTTTAGCTTATATGACAGTAATTAACCACAGCAGGGTGTGCAGGCTGCACTGAGCAATAGATGAGATCTATTTCTGCTTTAGAAAGACATATTTTTGCCTACATTTCAATCTACATCTTTTGTTACAGAGTGAGCAGGTAACCTGTTGAAAAAGACTTTGCTTTGGGCACTTTTTGGCATTTATCTTTTGTGTGCCTGAGCTATTTCCAAACAAATGATGTTTGGTTTCATGACCCTTAAGTCAAAGAGCTGATACGGTTTTGGACACAACTGATTGCAGATATAAAATGTCAGGGTTATAGCTTGAGTACAGGAACTGCAGCTGTGTCATTACTTTTTTTCCACCCTCCACCTTTTTCTGGCAGCTGAAGGGAACCAGCAAAGAGCTGCTGCAATTCAGCAACCCACTCTGCATGTTGCATGACTGACCCACCACAGCTTCTCATCCTCCAACACTGCAGAGTGGGTGGAAAGCATCCCAGTTTATTTCTCACTGCTTCTTCCATCACACAGCACATCTCAGAACAGACAGGTCTCTTTAAGTAAGAAATTAGTACATGTATTTGGTGCTAAGACAACGTCCTGACAATTAAATGCATAAAAGATGTCACAGTCACTGTGACTAGCTTGCTGCTGCCACGATAACTGCCATTTTTTTAAAAACTTTTTAGCTGATAACCATAAGAAGTGGTAATTGAATTAAAGTAGACCTGGGCAGCATTAGGCTTGGATAGACATGTCATCAACACAAACCTACACTGATACTCTGCTTACTCTGTTACATTTTACAGCATTTTCTGCCAGTAGAAACTTTAATCATTCCTTTGAAAGAGAGATAAGGAGAAACAACCTGTTTCACTAGTGATCACATTAGTCATTATGCTACTTATTTGTAGAACTTTTTGTAAATCACCACAAACTGTCAGCTGATATAGATTAAATTTAGTGCCATGTTACACAAGCAGATTGCCCACACAGGATTTTGAATATATTTACCAAAGCTATTCTAAGTTCTGAGTTAACGTTTCTTTGGTTTTGTCTATTTGCGTGTGTTCATTTGCATGTCATTTCAAGGATACAGAGCAGTGAAATCAAGCAGGACTGCCAAGTCTTGTCTGTGCATATGCAAAGTCGTGCCTGATTGGTTGCATAAGAATGAAAAAAGAAGACACCTCTGACCCCAAGCAGACACCATCCCACCAAATCACAGCCATAAATTGTTCAGTTCATTTTTCTCTGCTTATCGAACTCCTCACTCCCACTTTCCCTCCCCACAGCTCCTTTGTTATAATTCTACAACAAAGCATTCAGCAGAAGCTTACTGTAAAATTATCTCCATACCTCGTGTCCGACTACCATAAAGATAAAAGAAAGCTGTTGGATTTGTGAGATATTTTATTGTGGTAATCAATAGTTATCTGTCAATTTATAAATTGTTGTCTCACATAACAAACTAAACCCTGCAAGGAAAAAAACAAGGTGCTTCAAATACATTTAGTGGAAGACAACAACAGGAGGTCATAGTCATATTCCAGTCTATCAAGCAAACAGGGTCGTTCCAGTTTCTCGTTTTGCTTCAGAAACCTATGACATTAACACTGATTTAAATAATGTATTATTATTATTTAGTGGTTATTTACAGTAATGGCCTAACAAATGTACAAATTAGTGGACTATACATGCATGATGTCCTTGGCCCTGCTCTTGGAGCATTTGGCAGTGGAACCACCACTTGTTTTCTGGAGCAAACTTATTCTGATACTTTCAGGTAGTCAAGTCAGCAAGATATAAATACAAACTTATTTCAATTTGCTGAAATGGCAGTCAGGTGTACAAATGTTAACCCACATGGAGCTTTTAGTTTGAGAAATGTTGAGGGAAAAGTAATTCACCTCACCTGGGATGGCCTGCTATTTTTATTACTTGTACTATTACATACTAAAAAAGAAAGAAAGTAAAACAGAGAACAACTTAAACAACCAAAAGTTTCACATTATATGAAATGACTCAATGCTAGAACCAAATAATATATAAACTGCATTTTCCCAAGGATTTTTGGAGGTTTCAGCAAAATAAGTTACGTGTGATGTGCTACAACGTGAGGTCGGAGTGTAACTAGGGCGCTCACAGTCTCATATAAACACCTGATGTGTCCTGAAAGCCTGCTAGGCTGTTGTTCTTCATTCACTTTAACAGGTTTTCTTAGTGTATCTTTGATTTCTCTAGTCCTTTTTTTAAAATTATAGGGATTTAATCTTCAGGCTCGTTTGTCTATGGAGATTCTCAGTCATCCAGGTCAAAGTAAATCCAAAGTGCTGGTTGACAGCAGGACTTGTTTGAGGGTCTTGGAGACATTTCACATCTCATCCAAGGAGCTTCTTCAGGTCTGACTTAAACCACTGTGGAGTCGTCAACACCTCTGAGGGCCTTTAAAGTCACATGTGGGTCATTGCCCTACCCAGGGCCTATTTCTTATTTCTTCAAATTTGGCTTTTGTTGTATGTTTTATTTTTTTAAATTAAGTGATTATAGACCATATAAATGTACCAAAGATGTCCCATGAACATCTGAAACATCTTTCTAACAAAACAAAGGGGGTGGGGGGTCATTAATATGCTGGTTTTATAGCATCTCTCAACCACTTGAAGAGATCTACAATAGTTCCTCAGTTGTGCTGTGTGTCAAAGTTTCCTGTTGGTCAGTTTGTTGGTTTGTGTTTTTGCTCTTTTTCGATTTGGCCTTTCAAATCAATACAAAGCACAGATGTGACACAGTATTGTGACATGTGACAGCATGTGACAAGGTTTCATTTCTTTAATTAGACTCTTCTATTCTCCATGGGAGCCCTCCAGAATTATGTGTCAAGTTTCTGATTACCAATATATGAGGGGTTACAGTATGACTGTCCAGATGTTACAGAAAGAGCTTGTTAACTGTCCACCCGACACTCAGCTGTAAATCATATGTAGGAGGACTGTGAACAGTTTAATTGAAATGACCAAGCATTTCTCAAACTATTCATAAAAAACTATGTTATTGTCATGCACTTTTTTTTACTAGGATCTGGAGAGTGAACCATGACAGTTTCTGTTTGTATTTGGTAAAGCTCAGTAACCATCTCAGGAAAGCAAAAGAGTTTATCCAGTGAGAAATGTGATGAGTTTCATCCATGCTTGTATGATGGAGATCAGTGCTGCTGGTCCTCCACCTGCAGTGGTGTTCTCGTGTCAGCAGAGTGACAGTCACAGGGCCGTTCACATGACGCTCGCTTTGCTCTGCATCCAAAAACAAACACAACAAGCAAGAGCCAAAGGTTAAATCTCTGATTCTTTACAGGCGAACATTTCATCACCTCCAGGAGCGGTCGGCTCATTCACCATCTCTGATGAACACTTCCTGTCTTCCTCTCCCTCCTCCTCATCCCTGCTGATGAAGGCCAGCTCATTCTCATAGCAGAAGGAGTTGGCATCTGATGTTGAGAATTGTCGCTCCTCCATATCCTTGGCGCTGCACCTTGGAGTGGATGGCACTTCATATGTTTTGTGAAAGTAGGCATAATCTATCCTGTACTGGTGTTTCTCCTCAAAAATGAGGGGCTCAAAGCGGTGACCCCACAAGATCTCTGAGGACAAGTAAGAGCTGCGTGCCTGGGTCGTCATGGCTGTGGCCTCCACTAACCCTTCAAGAATAATTACTATCTCAAAGTCAGATATTTCCAGATCTTGCTTACTGATACCAAATAGAGGACTTTCTTCATCGATCTCATGTATGACAGTGAGGGGTGCAACCAGAAACAGGCGGTCTGTGCCTTTGTCATAGCCTACATTCATGTCAATCTGATCCAGGGGAATGTACTCGCCTTCCACTGTGTATCGGGGCTTGACGAGCTGGGCTCGCACATGAGCTTCCACAATGTGGCTCTTCCTTAAATTAGCAACCCTAAACATGAGGCACAGCTTCCCATCACGCATAGCAACGACTGCATTGCGGCTGAACAGTAGAGTCTCTGCACGCTTTTTGGGCCGTGCCATCTTGGCCATGATAGCACCAATCATGAAGGCATCAATGATGCAACCCATGATGGACTGAAAGACCACCATGAAGACAGCAGCCGGACATTCCTCTGTCACACAACGAGCGCCGTACCCAATGGTTGTCTGAGTCTCAATAGAGAAAAGGAAAGCTGCCACAAAGGTGTTGACCTTCATGACACAAGGAACAAAACTGTCATCTGCTCCAGGATTGTTCATGTCACCGTGTATGACACCAATGACCCAGAATGCAAAACCAAACAATAGCCAGGACAGCACAAAAACCAGACTGAACAGCAGGAACATGTATCGCCAGCGGATGTCCACACAAGTTGTGAATATGTCAGATATATACCGCAGCGACTTCTCATCCATGTTTGAGAACTGGATGTTGCATTGTCCATTCTTGGAGACAAACCGACTGTGGTATTTGCGCCTCGTGTTAATCTTGCCATTGCCGAAGCTGCCCACAGCAGGCATGGCACTTAGTCTCAGGCCTTCTTCTTCACAGGACAGGAAGTTGTGGTGGCGGGCCCTTCCCACACTCATGCCTCAGGGGGCACAGCCCGTCTCATACGAATCTGACCAGGCTCACAGGAAGTGCACCTCTCTGTCCAACACAGACGGAGTGTCAGCTGGAACTGGGAGGTGAGGCACAACTTTGGTTTCCTGTAATGAAAGGAAAGAAAAATATTAATAATGAATGTTATGCACTTTATTATTTGTCCACACTATAATTTTTGGAAAGTGCATGGACAAACAAGAAAGGCTGATACATATCTTTGCCTTTGTTTAAGTATAAATATGTTTACCACACAGTATTACTTTATTTAATACCATATGAACTAACAGAGTATGTCAGGTAAATACACATTATCAACACTGGGCAACAGTTCACTGCTCAAAGTCACTGAAAATGAAATACATTTCCAACTAAACTTTCTTTTAATATGTTCAGCATGCAATGAAATGCTTTTATAGCCATGTCTGCTTCATTCTTCCGTCCTCCACATTTCCAGTTTTACTCATTAAAGACAGATTTCTGATATTTATGATATAGTTTAATCTATCTTTTCTCAGGAGTTATATGCCATCAAATCTCATTTGAAGACCTGGTTTTAAATAATAATAGCTGTTCCCAACCAAAACATGTTTCACGTTTCATGGTTGATTGAGTAACATTTCTTTTGATTGGTTTTCCTCTCAGTGCTGTAAAAAAAAAAAAAAAGAAACAGTGAAGAATGTCATTTGTTTTGAAGCTGTGTAGATGTTTATTAATTTATAGTGGAAAACTGAGGACAAACGTGAAAGTGATGAAATGATACACAAATCTTTAAACTGCAGTTACCTGTAATCACCCCACTACATTTAATTTCTAGTTTTCTTTAATAGTATGTGTTATTTTCTTTCCTACCTCTTGTTCTTTCCCACTCTGGTAGACTCTGGTATACACAATGCATGCTTCTTTGATCAGCAAGGTACAGAAATAGCCCGCTAATCCAATGCCCTGCCATTTTATGTGACATATCTTCTGTTTCTTCCAGCTGCTACAACTATTAGCATCAGAGGAGTACTGTGATGAGGCTGTGTGAATCCCCTGTGAGGGTGAGATGGAAAATAATACAGGCTGAAAAACATGGAGCAGAAAATAGGGAAGAGATAGCCTCAGATATAAATGGTTTGATGGTAAGGATCGATGGGATATTTTTAAAAGGGAAGGAACCTTATCCAAATCTGTTCCAAGGGTAACCTTCAGCACATCCAGCTTGTGTTTTATTGGTGTCAGAAATAAAAGTTGTGACAGAATCTTCACTATCATTGATACATGAAAGCAGTATCACAGGCAAGGTCTTCACAAATTATAGCAAGAGATTTATATAATCCCACTTTCTTCTCTCCATGTAGGCTAACAATTTTTTAATTTTTTTTCTGAAATTTAATGTTTCACACAGAGAGACATCACACCAAAGAAGAGAAGTGTGATCTCAGGCCTGCTGCCTAAATATTTTGGAATCATTCATGTCTGTGTCTATCGTTCAACTTGGTGATAAACCTCACTTGGAGTAAACAGCCAGGGGTTCTGGTGGACTGTCTTACTCACAGCACAGCTTGAGCTAAATGACATACTGATGCTACTCATGTTCCACATCTTAGTTTGGCATGTTAATGAGCTAACATTTTTCTAATTAAAATGTCAACTCTATGGTGACATTACAGGAAAAGTCAGGGGCCAAAGTCAGTAGGATACATCATCTGGAGACTATGAATGTCTGCAGTAAAAGATAAGATATATCACAAGATAAGTACAAACCTTGACCTACAGCATCATTCCTCAGAGCACTATGAACATCTATAACTGGTTTCATGTGAACCTGCTTTATGTAGTAGCCAAAAAGTCACAAAGGTCAACCTGCTGGTGCTTAGGTCAAGGGACAACCAAAGCCTGTAGGATTCATCCTCTGGCAACCACTAATGTCAGTACAAAATGTAATGATAATCCATTTTGTACACATTTGTCTGGACCAGAGTGGTGGATTGAGCACCTGTCAGGATAACACTGACATCCCTAGAACCACATCACTAACCAAGCTAAAAATAAAATTTTATAGACCTGCATTAGTGCCAACATTAAAAAAAAAACATTCAATGATGCTGCAGAAAATGTAGTTCCTGTGTCTTCTGCACTGACTGGAATTTGTGCCTTAACATAAGAGCTGCTGTCACAATTATTCGTTTAATATACTGGCAGTTTGTCATTAAACAAAATACTGCCACACCATCACACTGCAGACCTGAGGGACCCAGAGGGAAACACTTCAGCCACAGGTCAGAGATGACATGTTGAAGGGGATAAGTTTACTGTCTGTCCTGCTTTTGTTTAATGGCTGGTTTTGACTGTATTGTTAGTTTTTTAGGATATCTAGGAATATTTTGAGATTAAAACACTCGCTGGATACACTCTGCTCAACAATTTAAGAATGCAAATTTCTAAGGCAATTGAGTTTTTATTTTGAATAAAACTTCCAAATGAGGTCAGAAAGGCTGCTGTGCAAGTGTTCCCACCATAAAATCTTTATAGCTATGAACAGATTAGCAACCTGCATATACAGCAAGTAATCCCAAAGTACAGTAGATGATAAACTTAATATACACTCTCTGTCAGACTCAAGTAAATGTATGTTTCAAACCCTCAGCCTGATGTGTAAGAGTTTAGAGAGCAGCCTGTTGGACGGAAATAATTGATAAGAGCATATAGTGAGATTTTTCTCTGTGATGGACATTTTATGTTTGGGGTGATATATAGATTGATTACTTTATTCATCCCCAAAGGGAAATTTGAGTGTTGCAGCATGTGTATAGGCATGTGTTTATGTAATTTATGCTTCCGTTTCTGTTTTTCAATGCTCTTGTTGCTAGGAAGCACGATGTTGAGTGTCCAAGGGATATTAATATCCGATAGTCTGTGTGACTGCTCCTCGGCTCTGTCTGGAGTCACACTGCGCCTGCTGGGCTGTGATCTTAATGTCGCAGCATGCAGAGAGTTTCTGCTAACATTTAGCACAGTTCTTTGTGAAAATATCTTTGACTCTGAACAAAGATAAAACTGTCCACAAGTCTGGGGTAATTTAGGGATGTATATTTATGAGAAGCAGCTTACCTTGTGTGCAAGTTTTTCCAATAAATGTTGATTTGGAAATTTCCTTTTCCCCCCCAGATCTCACATAGTCTTCTAGCCAAACTGCTGCATGTTTCTCCTCAGGCTTCCTTCAACAGTGCTTTTCTGTTATGGGCAGAGCCACTCTATCCTCCTGAGGCAGAAAAGTAAGTGATCAGCGAGTACCTTCATGTCTCTGCCTCCTAGTTTTAACGCATCTCTTTCTCCCCTCAGTGAAGAGAGCATCACAGTCACTCCTAATGTCAAGTCGTCCAAAGTGACTGCTGGTATCCAGTCGAACACAAACAGACCAGGAAGTAGGAAATGACCTTAGTGAAGCACTGAAGTCAGAATTTTGACCCTCGGAACAGCACAAAGACTTGATAAAACCTATCACATATTAAATGTGTATAGGGCTCACGTGGTCTGTACGGTCCAGTCCAATCAAGAAATATATTCCTCACAGCTTATTTTAGAGTTGTGGGCAGTTGACTGTCTCTCCTCTTCCATGTGTCTCCCACTTTCTTAGTATATCTGCTATCTGATCTTGTTCTGTTGCAGATCTCACTCTGTATCTTACATCTAGTGAACTATTGCTCGCTGCTCAGCTCTCATCCTCCCCCTCCCCTTCGCAGTGTCACTGTAGATACTTGGCATCTAGACTATTTGCTTGTCCCTTACCAAGTGTTGTACAATCACTGGTCAGCAATGTCGAAAGAACCGAGTGGTTAATTCGTGGCTGAGGGACCACAAATGACCAGCACATAAACATGTACATTTATTAAACTGATTTTTCTGGTTTTGTTTGGGTTCAATTAGGACTCATTATAATGTTTTTTTTTAATTCTGTGTATTATTTTAAAGAATTGATGGCACTACTACAGGATGTGTAGACAAATTCCAGAAAATTTCAGAAAAGCCAGAACAATAGAAACACTGCTGTATGATGTATGATTGGTCCAGAAGCAAAATATCCATTACAGCAGCATCTGTGTTATTAAAGAAGTCATTCACACTTCTAATTCACTACCTTGATCTGTAGTGTTGTCTTTGTTCACAGATCGCAGAGTGGGTGGTGTAGATTCCATTTTGACTCAGTCACAAAGCAGACCAGCTCCAGTTGAACACATTGTACTTAAAGGCAGTTTCTTGCTGAACATCACTTGTGTGTCTTGTATGTGTGTACATGCTTGGATAAAGGAGCAAATCAGTAAGTTTCTTGTGTATCACAGGGACACTGGGCCCCTGATTAGTTGTAAAAACTGAACTAAGAGTCTGCAGCCACGCTAGTGACCTTGTGAACCGAAACATAGGCATTACTTTGAGCCAAGCACGAATATAAAAATGCTGTAAAACATATACAGTAAACATGTTAAACCATGTTAGTAACTTCTGTTATGAACAAATAGCATGTAAGAAGTCATCCCCAACAAATAGGACCATTTTGATAAACAGAGTGTGAAAAATCTATAGTGTGATATCCAGAATCTGGAAATCTCTTCACAAATGTTCAAATGCTCACACACTGTTCATTACACTGCAGTACAAATCTTACATGCATTATTATAATATCTTGCTTGCTAAAAAAATGTGTACAGCATTCTTGTCCTTTTAAAATATGGTAGTCATACTACTTTAGTAAAACAACAGTACTAACAGTACAAAGGTCAAATAATATTTTCCATTATCATGAGAAAACCGATACTCAGAGTACCACAGCTTCCTTGCAGGCCATCATATTGCAGTGTCACACACACCTTCTAGCCATCTCTCTGCACTGTAATGGCCTCCGGTGAATCTGGGTCAGGTTAGAATGGAACTACTGATCCTGTTACTGTCTTGTGAAAGTTCTGAAATAATTACAAACTGCTGGGCAGAGCATTGTGGCTGGCTGCTTTTTAAAGTTCAGAATGAGTTGCTCCCAAAAAAAATGAATTCTAATGGCTTTGGTGATCTTCAGACTTGTCCTCTAGCATCTCCAGCCGTCTACATTTTCACTTATTTTGTGAAATATCTCAAAATCTATAAGACGAGTTGTTACAAAACTTTGTGCACACACTCACAGTTTCCAGACAATATATTCTACTCTAATGCCCCTTCTTCATGATCCCCTGGCTTTTCATGTACTGTCATAAGAAGTCAGAATTTTAGATTGTTCAGTACTTAAACTAGTCGGCCTCAACTGTACATTGAGTTCAGTGATAAGTAATAAATGGATGTATGCTAAAGTAAGATAACAAACAGGGTTACAATTACACTTCCTTAATTGACAGTGGAGACATTCACTGAGAAAACGCTTTAGCTGAAAATGCACTGAATGTGATATTTTGCTGGCTGTCATTAACTGAAAAAAAAATTGTATACAGCACATTTCAAATCTTAAAATACAAATTACTTTTTGTGTGTGTGTGCGTGTGTCTGTGGTGAACTTGTGTCATATCCACTCTATGTTTCTGTTGCTGTACTGTTGTTGATGACACCAGGCCTGTAAATGAGATATGTGTGCAGTTAGGAGATGACAGACAACTCAGGGATGTGAAGTGTGTTTTCGTTCCCAGTGAGTTATTTAAAGGTCGTCTCATTGCAGCAGGACAGAGTGAGCCAGGCTTGACCACACTCAGGACATGAGCTGCAGAATGTGCTCACCTTTCAGATAATCAGCACACGCTCCCATGATTCATTTCAAGTGTTACGTCATGTTGTGGTTATCCCTGCATGTTGCAGAAGACACCAGCCAGAGCGCAAAGCTCAGTCAGACATGAGTATAACTGCTTCTGGCAGGACACTCATGATCAGGAGCATGGCAGGTACTGCACTTATTCCACTATATAACTGTGTGTCTAGTCAATTTTCACTAGCACTCCTGCTGTTCATGCTCACTTTAATATGTTTCTGCTGCTTCTTCATTGCTCTATTAGTTAAAGCTACGTCTAGTCTACCCATTTATCTGCCGTTGAGTTTTTTATTCACTGCTTCTGTTACTGGTTTCAACCTGGTAGTAACACATTTGTAAAAACAAATCTTTAAGCAAGCTCTTGTAATTTATAATTAGTTTTCCCTTTCATTTGGAGGTAAATATAATTCATTACAGCTGAAAATTTTTCAAAACCCCTTGAATGTTGCCCCAAAGAGGCAAAATATCAGAAAATATTATCTTATTATTATGAGCAGATTAACTACTAGTATATGATATCACTACTATTGTTATTATTTTCAAGTTGTTTCCATATTACAATCTCACCACTGTATTGCCCCCTTTGTTATTAGCCCCTTATTACCTTGTTACATTGAGCTGTTATGTAGCTACAGTACCACTTAAGGTTAGACAAAATGATTGCAGTGTAATGCAGCAGTAATCATGATGACAAAACAAACACAAAAGCTAGAGTCTTTGCTGGCAGCCTACACCAGCAAAAACAACCTATGAGTGGGGAAGAGAGGCATTGTACACCCACCCAACAAAAAGATATGCTGCACATACACAGGATTTTTTTAGGGAGCTGCTCACTAGCGGCCCTGTTCCAGTTAGGGAATATGCTCCTGAGTAATCTAATCAACATGCATCATAATAATAAAGTGCTCTGACCTTGCAGAATAACACAAGGAGACCTTATTAGTTCTACACAGAAAAGACTAGGGGTTGAATCCAGGTTCCCCATCCTCTGAGGCGACAGCTGCACTCAGTCAAAAATATTAATGAAACTTTATTGCTAGTCTGCCTTACACAGGTGGATAGCAGTTCCTTTTTTCCTTGTATGTAAATGAGATTTTACAAGAAATGAGAGTGTATATACATTTTTATCCACAAGCAATGTCTGTCTTAATTTGTCTATATGTTGTTCTCGAGCATTAAAAGCTCTTAAAAACAATTATGAAAAAGTTACAAGATCCATAATAGCCTCAGCGTTATTAACTATGTAAGTTCCCCAGTTTGCTATTGATTAAGTGATCAGCTCACCGTTTCTGGCTATCAAAATATCTACTGTAGCAGAAATATCCTTCACATCTCTGTTTTGCACTGCCCATGCTGTCTTGTTCTCTGGCACATTTTACTTACAGCATAAGAGTCTATTGTATTCAAGTGTTTCCCACTAATTTGAAGACACAAACATAGGCCTGTCATAGATAATCAGAACTGTGGTCCTGTCAGCTGCACTGTAAACACAGCTGAAGTCGGGAAGCAGACTGTGCTGGCTGATCAGAGCAGCTCCCAGCTCCAGTGCCGGCTGCAGTAATTGATCTTTGCATGACTAAATGGGCCACTTATTTTTACAGCCTGAGCAGGTGCATATGTGTACTAGTGTTTCTACATCAGCCACTGATCAGTCATGAAGACCGAGAGCGTTTGTGGGGCAGCTCAACTCAGAACAAACCGCACAGGTGTACATACACACAAGCACTCTTTCATACAGAAAGACACACAGAAACAAATTGAGGCAGGTTTCTATTCTTCAAATGAGAATCTTTTTTAATCCTGTTTAACTTGTTGTAATCAGAGTTAATGCTACATTATTATTGTGGACCAGGCATCCAGGCCATGCATTGTGTAGTTATTATATTGCTACTCACCTAGTGCTCTATCTACACCTGCTCTTCAACTTAAAACTGAGAAAAAAACCTTTATTTTATTGTATGAAGAACATGAAGTGCCAAAATTCAGATTTGAATTTGGTCATTTTGGTATTTTGTATAGATAGAAATACTTTATTATATGTGTTTACATAGGTGAATAATGCCAGAATACAAAATCTTCATACATTATGACCTTTCTAAAATTATCACCCCTATTTCATTTTACAGCTCAAATATTTTGGTCAATAAAAGGCTCCATGTCTTCACTTGTTAGCAGCAGCTACAGAACAGATTCAACGACAGCACCAGTTTCAGACGTTGCATCTGTTGCCTTTGCTCTGAGAGGAAATGTTGCTACATCTAGTGGTGCGACATGTTAACAACAGTTTTTACACAACTGGTGCAGCACACTGGGTTATTTTTTTATGAAAACACTGGCAGTGCATGGGTGCATCACACTGAGCTGTAAACCAAGATATATATCACTTGTTTGTGATCACTCTGTTATATTTTATAGTAATCTTTTTGAAATATTTCTTTAGAAAAGCCAGTGTGTGTTGCTCTCTCTTGTGGTATTTTGATTCTTCTTTCTCTTTTACTCTGTCACACACACAAATTCATAAAATCTTGATTTGAACTTTTCAGAGCCACATAGCACATCAACAACAACAAATCAACTTGTTACACAATAAAACAATAATAAAAAGTTACACATAGTATAACACTTATTGTTTAACAACAAGAGTTACTCATAACACAGAGAAATACTGTATATGACAA